TCGGACGAAGTTCTCTTTCAACAGTGGTCGAAAACAATAGTGAAAAGACTTACACGGTTGAGCCAAACCAACGACCGTTGCAACTGATCATAGGAGAACGGGCGCTCGGGTTCGGGTACTAAAGTACGGAGTGTTTTCCAATCCATACCAGATACACCATCTCCGCTTGCTTTCAGAAGCAACAGGGCTTGGTCATACGAAAGTTTGGCACAAGATCGTATGATGCTCCGTCCAAACCAGGCGTTCGTTATCTGTTTGGTGACAAGTGAATCAATAAAATAATTAAGGATTTGGAATCCATTAATTATTAATCATATCAAAAAATACGGGACAACCGCGAAAACATCTGGGGAAAATGAATGACTATGACGTTGGACTGTTCGAGTCACAAACCCTTTACGAGGAAGTAAATAGGTTGTGAACATGCAAGAGGGTCTAGACATTCAGAACCTACATTGCTTGAAACGAATAATCCAAAACATCTGGATAGCATACGCGAACAATAGACACGTCATATGAATGTGTTGGCTACTGATAATGCCAAACCGATAAATAAACTAACCACTATAAGGTACTACAAATGGATGGATGAAATGAGAATCGAATCGTCAGTCGTGAACGACAAACCTCAGACGACTGAGAGCTGCACAGAAAAAGTCAAATCTATAAACGTTCCTCATCAGCACAATGTGTATCCAGCTTCAGATTCGCTATGCAGAATCCACAATTGATTTGACAGTGAAAGGATTCCATAGTTGTCTTTCCGTTTACCTTCAATTACGTCCGAGTGAATACGCACAGGTTTTCAGTTGATAAACTTGAACTCCGAAGTCAACGAACTAAGTCTTGAGAGGACAATAGTCAATGGAACCAGGCACATGAAAATAGGTAGGTACCTCATCTTCCGACAGTGGAGACATAAGAGTACATCTGTGGAGGCAACCGTAAACTTCAATCGATCCAAACAGACCTGATAGCACCAAAGCAGAATTTCATTTGATCCCAATTGATACAGAACTTCAGTTACAAATTATTTTTTATTTGGGATGAATAGGGGTAAAAGACAATCCGCTGCATATCATAAATTGTAATAACAAGACTAACTGATAAGGGTTAGACGGTAGCAGTAAAGACGTCTAATTCTGCCAGCAGTATGATTCCGCTAAACCTAATATGGCAGTACTGATCAACTGGTAAATGTCACCATCAGCCCAAACTGGAAGTTGCACGTTTGACTCTTTCTATCACTGCTTTGTCCAGGATCTCTCAGAAGCCAGTAGTCCTGATAGAGCAAAAACAATGGATCTCAATCCACATAGAAACCGGTGACGTCTGCAGCAACAGCTTAGGAAAGCCTTTAAGTTCACAAGTAGCTGGACACCAACGCAGACAAAAACAACAACAATAACGACTCACCTCGCCCGATTCCTGGACAGTCAACACGACAGAGAAGGCCAAACGATCCATGTGGGGGTTCAAGCTGCACAAATGTTCTGAGAGAATGGAGGGCAGCATTGGAATGACCTAAAGAGAAGCGGACAATAAACGTGGACAAAATGATCACGAACGTGTTTGGCGTCATAAGTAATAGCTCTCTTGGTGGGATTTCAGAATGCAGTGAACAGCGAAACAGCTGACGAACCATCAAGAGAAAGACTACAAAAAACAAATATATATACATATTCTGAAGCCTCGTTAACACTGAGTCGAAGATTCAATTGAATGCGGTCATCCCTCCATAGCCCTTTGAGGTGCTCATCCCAACGCCGCTTGAGAGCAGCGTCGGTCGGCTCCCCCGCCACAGTTGGTGGAAGGGAATTCCAGATCGTTGTTGACTTTCGCGAGAATCATTAGATTAACGGAAAACTAAACAACTGAAATTTACACAATGTGAGAGAGTGCCTTATGTGCACTCGTCCGTCTGTAAAGAAAAATGCTGCTGCAACTCCTGGCCCATATCACCCCTAGGATCTTCATCAGGCAGATCGGATATCAGATATGGCTAAAATGTAAGGCATATTGACCTGCGCAAGTCATTAAAATTCAATGGGGCACGAATCACTGTCTGACTGGATGTAAGATGGCATACCGGCATTTAGTTCGATTTATCTTTCAGTGTTGCTGTTGTAAAAAAACCGCATCACTCAGATCGGATTCACTTATCGAAACAATGAAAACACGAGTCGGTTTGGGTGGAGTTAATTCCATTTTCTGTGAGGGAGATCCCTGCGATCTTATCAGAAAGCATTTAAATGTAATTTTAAGGATATTATTTTTATTACACACTTTCGTGTGATGAACAGCAGACAGGGTAAACCCCATAGTCACAAGGACCTGCTGTTTAATGATGGAAACTGATAACCTAAGCCCCAGGACTTGGAGTGGCGAACCACATAAGGCCTCGATAAGTTAGGCGTGGTATATGCTCATTTTTTCGCCGTACGACATTCAAATTGATGTGAATCCAAAGAAACGCGTATTTTGTGATTTATCACGATTTGTATCCAATAATTACTCGCTCACTATCTATGACAGCAAAGTAGCTTTGACAAAGAAGAGAGGGGTTCTTGTTCTTCAGGTATAATTACACTCATCCTTTACCATGAGCAACGGACAAGGAAGTTCACATCACTTCCTTGAAGAATACTAGTGCTCAAATAGTGAAGGTTATCAAATCAGTGACCTGGATGTTCTGAGTTTGAATCCCGCCACCACCATCCAACTTCACCATTTCTGTATTTCCCCTATACAGCCTGTGTGTATGGTCACGCCCCATTTCCTGGAAGTTAACAGTACATTTGCGTACACAATAAATAGAAGGGAGGCAAAAACATCTATTATTTAACCTGAGAACAACCTCAGTGTTATCGAGAAATTGAAACTTCATCATACATTGTAAATTGATAGAGGAAGTGAATCCTAGAATCACAAAACTCATTACGCAGATGCGAGGACTTGCAGTAGTGAACTAAATAAGATACCAAATGCCTTAATTATGATACGATGTTAAAACTGTTTTCAATTGGCCTACTAACATGAAGTTAATCAATTCAACCGAGTGTTCTAGAAGCCTGACAACAATGTAACGGTATTGGCCTGGAGTTCCTGAATTCCTATGAACCTTTTTCACGGGTGTTCTTTGGTATACGTGCGTCGTTAGAAGAATTTTGATTGTACGTGTCCCTGATCAAATAAGACTGCCTGTTTTGTCAACTATGCGGTGTCTGCAAAATATTCTTCACCAGATTTTACAGACACACACATATGTCAATAAAGTGTTGTGCTAACAACGTAAAAATCGAGATGAGAGGCAAGACGTGGGAATTTCTAAAACGATCAACTCACACGCTGTACAAGATAAACCGAAGTGGTCCGTTCGGCAGCCTCTAAATCCAAGGGGGTTCCGGGTTTCACGAAGTAGGACACATCGGCAATATGAATACCAACCTCATATAAACCTACAATGCAGATCCGAAAATGAGCGTAAAACAAACCAAATAAGGAAGAGATCCCGAAAGTACACAGTCACAGGTGGAGGCATGTACATGGACGTCTAGGAATGGAGTCATAGTTTGCAATTCGTCAGCAATCCGTAAAGATATTCGAAACATATTGAAACGACCTCAGATGGGACAATAAAACATTGTGATATGCCGCCCGATTGAAGAAAATAGAACAAAAGGCGTAAG